TTATAAAAATATTCTCATGACTTGAGGGGTTATACACTTTTTCTTCATTCAAATTATTAGATGACTTCTGAAACCTGAACTACTCTCTTCTGTTTTATGGCTTTGTTGCCTAAAGTGCTGACATAGTTATTCTGTAATAGATGCATGTTTAACTACCTTTTGTATTTATTGATCCTTGGGGAGATACACAAAAGACTCTTAAGATTGCTCTGGTGATTATTCAGATAATATGAGTAAAGTGTTCATAAATTTGTGATTGACATAATTTTAAGTTTTTATAAATGAAAACAATAGATTTTGAGCTACTTTGTCACACTGCTGAAACCAACTTGAGTTTCCAATGATTAGTAATAATTAAAGCACATATATTTCATAAGACTTGAGTTACATTAGCATATAAATCTTCACAAGGCTAAAAATTATTCTTTCTTATGTTATGTTATAAAAATATTTATGAATTATGATAATATATTAAAATTAATGTAAGAAAACAAATAAGGTAATTTATATGTCTGTATATTCTTATTAATGATAGGTTAAAGGAAAAACTATAGAAATTACATTTCTAAGTTAGAGGACTAATAAATTTGGGATATTTTTAGTGAAAAATATATTAATACTAAATCAAAAAGTAAGATCAATGTAGTGTACACAAAGAAACATGAAAATGGTGCTTGTGTTACATTTTTACTTTGATCACTATGAGGAATTTCTTGGAAAAAATTCAGATGTTATAGGAGATTTCTGATTAACAAGGTGAAAGCAATTAGTTTTTTAACCTCAATTTTTTAAAGATTACCTATAACATCTTGTTTTTTCTTTACAACTTAATTAACTTCTAAAAGTATTAAAGTTTAGAATTAAAGGTTACACTAGGTAATTTCAGAATTTTGAGTTGGCCCTGCCTAAGTATTATATGGCTTTAACTTACAGTAAAATTTGTTCTTTTAACAGTTAGTAAAAGAAAAAATGCAATTGAGCTATTAGGAGGTAATAAGACACAGAATATTAAGCCAAGATATGCCCATTATTGGTATGATACCAGTCACACCTTGGGAATGTTAAGTAATAATGAAGAAATGAATAAGTACATTTAGTAAGAATTTGTTAATATTTATCAAGGGATAAGTTTATATAAAAGATATGGTGAATGTTTGGATTATCAGTACAAACATACACCTAGTCACTGCTTATACTGTAAAGTTTTATCTCTCTGATATGATAAAAAGTATCCTTAACATTTTTTGCTTTTCCTGCAGCATCTAATTTAATGCTGTGTACATAATAGTATTTTAAGAAATTTTTAAAAATACTTAGTTGATTACTAAAATCTATAGGTATCATTCAGTAGAGGAATACAATTTAAAATCTGAGTAACCGAGGACTTCCATGGTAGTCCAGTGGTTCAAACTCTGAGCTCCCAGTGCAGGGGGTGAGGATTCAATTCCCAGTCTGGGAACAAGGATCTTGAATGCCACATGGTGTGGCCAAAAACTCTGAATAACTCGTAAAATGGTAAAATTACCTCATCCTGTTCACATGTTCATAGTAATCAGGGAATAATAACATCTTAAGAAGTTTTACCTGTGGGATTCTCTCAAACATTCTGATACAGGATTATTTATGACATGTTATTGTATTATTTTAAATAATAATTCCTTAAGTGTATACTCTTAAAAAATCACTGAGAATAAAATAATTTTTTATTACATAAAGAAAAGTATATAAACAGAAACATATAATATACTTTCTTTAATGATTTTGTTTCATCCTCAACTTGTTTTCTTAGTACTTTAAGTGTCATTTTCATTTCAACTCATTCATTTATTCAACAACAATTTTCTAAGCACCACTATATAGCTGGCTCTAATCACAACACTTATGATACAATGGTACACAGGATTCCTGTCTTCATAGATCTTACAATCTGGGAGAAGATAAACTACAAACAAGTACAAAGTAAATAAAATAATGGGATGGAGTTCTAGAGGTCAAGTGTAAAAAAGGTAAAATTAAGTGTTCTGGGAAGGCCTCTCTGATAAGTTAAAATTTGATCTATGACTGAAGAATAAATAAGAACCACTTGAATATTTGGTGGAAGAACATCAAATAGGAAAGATCCTTTGTTTAGGAATAATAAAAAGGTAAAAATGGATGGAATATACTATATCAGGTACAAACTGTATGGTGGACTTTATTACAACTATAATAAGAAGCCACTGGATCATGTTAAGATATAATCTGTTTTATATTCTGAAAAGAGCACTTGGTTGCTCTGTGGAGAATGCATAGCGAGAACTGAGAAAAGCAAGAATGAAAGCAGAGAAAGCAAGTTCCTTTAGGTTATTATGTTTTAAGCTATTACTTTATGTATATATGTACATGTGCACACACACATAGTTATTGGTTTAATATTTTGGCATGGTTTTCTTGACATTTCTTTTCCAGTTACTCGTGCTTGATATGGACAGCCCAATCAAGAACTTGTATTGCTCCAATACAGGTGGTTTAATCTTTCTTTAGTTTCTTTTCACTTTATCTGATAATTGTTTTTATATTCATAAGTACTTTAAATTGAAGAGTGAGTAATTTTGTATGCTATGAATATTTATTTTTCTGAGAATGAAGGTAGCTAGAAGAGAGAGAGCTGTACCTGGTTCTTCATATCCCTTTCCAAGTTTATTGGAAGCACTGTGCCTGATTTCACTCTATCTAGTCAAGGGAATATTCTTTTCCCATGAAAAGTGCTCTTGGTTCTTGAGGGATTCTTAGAAGATTTCATCTTAACTATCTTCATTGATCCTGTGGCTGCTACCTTCTCTACTCAATGCAGATCTTACTCACCTCTCTTCAGCAGCTTTCTTTACTCTCTTCTCAGGTACAGAAGCAAATATGGGAATCCAAGACTTTTGGGTTTTCTGGGTGTCTCTTAACTTGAGCATTGTTTCCCTTGGATGATTTTATTTTTTTTTCCACTTGGATGATCTTATCTTTACTATTCTCTTGGATGTCCTCTTGTACTAAATCCCATATATCTGGAGATAATGCTCTGCCTTTCTTTAACCTTTCTTCTCCAACAGGAAAATTCAGAATGACAAGCCCTAATTTTTCTTAGTCCTTCTAGTAAAAAGAATACTTGCCAGGGAAGAACTTGTCTCTTGAGGAATTTTCCAGGCCTTTTCCCTGAGTTACTCCCTTAGTTCTCATCTCTTCAGATAGGAGAAAATTAGGTTGAGCTCTCAGGATTTTAATTAATCCCCTTCCCTACTCTTCACACCATTGCGTTCAGAAGGCAACAGAGTTCACATTTCATGCCCATTCCTGGAATCCATTACCTCTCTCACTGTCTATCATTTTTCAGAGATTATAGTTATAAATCCATGTTATGATGTTAGATGTAGAGGGTGTCAGTGGTCCTGGATAATTAACATGTAAGGAAAAAACCACCTATACAGTAATAAGTAACTTATCGTAATAAGTAGGCACTATGTGGTACCAGGCACTGTTCCAAGAACTTTATACTTACACTCATCTAGACACACACCCATTTAATCTTAACTATAAACCTGATGAAATAGGAAGTAGTGCCATCTCCATTTTAAAGACAAAAAAAAACCCAAAACTGATTTACAGAGAGGTTAAATAACTTGCCCAAGATCTTATAGCTGGAATGTATTGAAACAAGAATTCAAATCCCGATCATTGGTTACAATGTCCAAGTTCCTAAACAATACATATACTGTGTCTTTATATCAAAAATATATAGTTTAAGCCAGAGCTGAGATGCAAAATCTGAAATATAGAGCTCTTAACTTCTAGACCAAACTGTCTGATTTTCATTAATTATTATTTATTAAATGCTTATCCCAGTTGATAATCTTATAATCATAGGAGATACAAGAATCATTATATCAATTTTAAAAAAGAAAGAACATGAAGAGCTAAAGCAAGTTGGTTTAGAGTTAGCATGTGTATCTGAGTCTCTGTTACTTCAAAGTCCTGGTTGTTTAGTCGCTAAGTTTTGTCTAACTCTTTTGCAACCTCATAGACTGTAGCCCACTAGGCTCCTCTGCAATGGGATTTTCCAGGCAAGAATACTGGACTGGGTTGCCATTTCCTTTTCCAGGGGATCTTCCTGACCCAGGGATCGAACCTGCCTTTCCTGCAGGTGGATTCTTTAGCACTGAGCCAACTGGGAAGCCTGGCTATTACGGCCATTCCTCTATTCAACTGTTATAATGCATTCCTTTGTAACATTTTTTAACCTTTAACTGATTTCTTTTAAAATCCATATAAGCTCATTTTGACATTTCAATAATTTTCTTGTTCTGAATTATATGGTAAAAGTCTTATTTCAAGGATAGTACCCAGGCCTAATTTTACACATAGAATGTTAAAGAATAATTTTGAGGGCAAAAGTCCATGACTGACTGATGTTTGAATGAGGACATATAGAACTTGTCTAGGCATGTGTAACATAAATTTTGTGAAACTCTGGTCACAGTAAGAAATAGCTCCTGCTGCTAAGTTGCTTCAGTCATGTCCAACTCTGTGCGACCCCATGGACAGCAGCCCACCAGGCTCCTCTGTCCATGGGATTTTCCAGGCAAGAATATTGGCGTGGGCAGCCATTTCCTTCTCTGAGAAATAGCTGCGGCTGCTGCTGCTGCTGAGTCGCTTCAGTCGTGTCCGACTCTGTGCGACCCCATAGACAGCAGCCCACCAGGCTCCGCCTACTTTGATCCAAATGAACGCCATTCACTGTATTTAAAAAAGGTAATTAAAATCTCAGCCAAGAAAATTAACTCATACATTGGAATCCTTCCTACATTCTTTTATGTTCTAACACCTAGTTACTATTTCTAACCTTTGGTTTGCTTATGAAAATCAGTAAACCATGACAAACCCATACTCCAAAACAATTATATTTAGAAGAGTCAACGTTTAAGAAAAATATTAATTTATGGCAAGATAATATTTTTCTAGAAATATACACTTACTTCTGCCTTTTTACGAGCTTCCATAGCTTTCATAAGCATCATATGTTGTCGCCTTCTCTCTCGTTCCTATTAAGCCAGATAAAATTAGGAATATAACTCAATCATAGTTAATAGTTTGATCTTCAAATGGAAAAACAAAACAAAACAAAAAAACTCTGTATAGCATGTTTAGCATTTATAGACAAGTCACAGTAAATACTAAATATAAGACAAGAATGGCCAGTCTGTGCATGTTTTAGTTCAGGTTTAGAAAGCAAATACAAGAACAATCAAAAGCAAAAAGGTAAAGCAATGAACATGGAGACAGTGTAAACAGAAGCATACAAGATTTACTTATGGTCAGTTGTGATGCTCCTTCAAAAGCTGGCAGAACAAAAAGCATAATGGTTGGCTGGAACAGGTCAGTTACCTTACATCTGCTATTAGAAAAACCACAAATATGTACTATAGCCAATTAAACTAAAGGTTGTATTCTTAAATTTTTATTTAGATCAGGCAGAAATTGCTTTAAAATCACTTTTACTTCACAGTTTTAGAATTACTTTTATTTAAATACACTATCATTTTGTTAATCCACCGACAAATTAGAAAGTTTTTTTTTAAGTTTTTATACCAATTTAAACTAGTCATGGTTCATATAACACCATCAATGAAATGAGATATTCCTGTTTACTGATGTCTGTCCCTTGATGCAGTATTGAAAGCCACTAAAGCTGCACCATGGGCTCACAAGTTAAATCTAAAAGGCACAGTATGAAAATAAAGTAAGCACTAGCTTACTTTGATAGTCTCCTTTTATTAAAAAAAAAAATCACATAGGTATAATGTTGAAACAGTTCTTTTTGTTTAAATATATGTGGTTCACACAAAGGGATATTTCTAAAAATTTCTAAAATTTGTCCATAAAACCAGAATATATTTCATATTCTCTCATCAAACTAACCCAAAATTCCCATTGTATTCAATGGCAGTTTTGCATCTAGAATGATGGGAGAATATGGGTCATAATTGTATCTAATTGTATAGTGATCCAACGTTCTCTGTGACATCAGTAATGTAAACTTTTAGACAGCAGCCCATTTAAGGCTTGCATGATTCAATTACAAATCTTGGATATATACCATGTTTCTTTTATAGGTAGACAAGCAGATGTATGCAATGCACTGTGCTGTAAGCCATGCAGCAGTATGTAATATGACAGCAGCCAGTGCTACACTTTATGCATTGCTATGACAACCATATCACAACCAAATCACAATGCGGTGTTAGATGTACAAAAATAAACATACCCATACCATATCTAGTCTATGCCTCTCCAACTCCTGGTAGAAAGAGTTGGCACAACATTATGAAACAGAAATCACAGAGTCATGAAACCAATTTTTAACCCCCCAAAAGACACCAATACCAAAGCAAGGAATTTAAGCAGGAATTACATTGGAAATTTTTAAGAAAAAATTTTGAAGATTTTTCAAAAAATAGATTTAAGAAAAATTATAAAATGTACATTTCAAAATTTGTATAACTGTGTGTATACAGACCTGATGCTTTAGAAGAACAGCTTGCTGTCTTCTCATTTCTTTTTCCTTAAAAATAAAAAACTTTTAATATATGATTTTTAGGAAAAATTTAGAACATGCTTCAAGTATTAAAAGCTCCTTTTCTGAGATTCTATAGTCTTCTATTAGGTTGAACCACATGAAATTTCAAATATTCAACATTTTTTTTACTTATAAAGTGGCAACTTCATATGGTTGCCTAATGTATAAAAACTATATGATAAGAGCAAACATCTGACTTAACAGCACACTTCAATGGCATGTTCACAGAACTGACTAGCTAGATGGACAGAGTATATCACATACAAATGGCTCTTTTAAAAAAAAAAAACATAATAAGCAACCTTCATGTCTAGCTGATTAAAACTCTCTCCACACTGAATATAAATTCCTAAAATCTCAATGATTAACAAGATCTATGTCATTTCTACACACTGTACAGGAATGAGAGTGACAAGAGACAAAGGAATAAATTTGAGATTTTTATGTCCACCTACAATTGAGGGCATTATTTCAAAAGGGTGGGGCTTAATGCACGTAATTCTGTGAATCTCACGACATGAGTATTTCATAAAGTTAAAATACGAATGAAATTAATATAAAGGGCAGTCATGAAAAGGAGGAGGAACCTAAAGAACAAAGTAAGACAGTCTATGTAGAAAAGGTGACAACTGGTTCCCTAGCTTTATAAGATGTAATCAGTTCAGTTCAGTCGTTCAGTTGTGTCTGACTCTGCGACCCCATTAACCGCAGCACGCCAGGCCTTCCTGTCCATCACCAACGCCCAGAGTTTACCCAAACTCATGTCCATTGAGTCAGTAATGCCATCCAATCATCTCATCCTCTGTCATCGTCTTCTTCTGCCTTCAATCTTTCCCAGCATCAGGGTCTTTTCAAATGAGTCAGCTCTTCGCATCAGGTGGCCAAAGTAATGCAGTTTTAGCTTCAACATCAGTCCTTCCAATGAACACCCAGGACTGATCTCCTTTAGGATGGACTGGCTGGATCTCCTTGCAGTCCAAGGGACTCTCAAGAGTCATCTTCAACATCAGAGTTCAAAAGCATCAGTCCTTCAGAGCTCAGCTTTCTTTATAATTCAACCCTCACATCCATACATGACTACTGGAAAAACCATAGCGTTGCCTAGATGGACCTTTGTTGGCAAAGTAATGTCTCTGCTTTTTAATATGATGTCTAGGTTTGTCATAACTTTCCTTCGAAGGAGTAAGCGTATTTTAATTTCATGGCTGTAGTCACCATCTGCAGTGATTTTGGAGCCCAAGAAAATAATATATGCCACTGTTTCCATTGTTTCCCCATCTATTTTCCATGAAGTGATGGGACTGGATGCCATGATCTTAGTTTTCTGCATGTTGAGCTTTAAGCCAACTTTTTCTCTCTCCTCTTTCACTTTCATCAAGAGGCTTTTTTTTTTTTTTTGCTTTCTGCCATAAGGGTGGTGTCATCTGCATGTCTAAGGTTATTGATATTTCTCCCAGCAATCTTGATTCCAGCTTGTGCTTCATCCAGCCTGGCGTTTCTCATGATATACTCTACATATAAGTTAAATAAGCAGGGTGACAACATACAGACTTGACATATTTCTTTTCCTGTTTGGATCCAGTCTGTTGTTCCATGTCCAGTTCTAACTGTTCCTTCCTGACCTGCATACAGATTTCTCAAGAGGCAGGTCAGGTAGTCTGGTATTCCCATCTCTTGATGAATTTTCCATAGTTTGTTGTGATCCACATAGTCAAAGGTTTTGGCATTGTCAATAAAGCAGAAGTAGATGTTTTACTGAAACTCTGGCTTTTTCTATGATCCAACAGATGTTGGCAATTTGATCTCTGGTTCCTCTGCCTTTTCTAAAACTGGCTTGAACATCTGGAAGTTCACAGTTCACATATTGTTGAAGCCTGGCTTGGAGAATTTTGAGCATTACTTTACTAGTGTGTGAGATGAGTACAATTGTGCTGTAGTTTGAGCATTCTTGGCATTGCCTTTCTTAGGGACTGGAATGAAAACTCACCTTTTCCAGTCCTGTGGCCACAGCTGAGTTTTCCAAATTTGCTGGCATATTGAGTGTACCACTTTCACAGCATCATCTTTTAGGATTTGAAATAGCTTGACTGGAATTTCATCACCTCCACTAGCTTTGTTCGTAGTGATGCTTCCTAAGGCTCACTTGACTTCACATTCCAGGATGTTTGGCTCTGGGTGAGTGATCACACCATCGTGTAATAGGATGTAATAGTAGTGGCTATTTCTTGAACTGTTAGGCCCACCTGGCTGCTCAATTTCAGTAAACTATTATCAGAATAGGTGGAAGATAAGATATGGAATGTGTGTATGTAGGGCCAGGGGGCAGTGGTTAGAAGGGGCATGAGAGGCCAACTTTTTTCATGCTTCATGCCAGAAAATCAAAACCAAAACATCTCCAAACAACATATGAAGTTACAGTAAATAGCAATGGCTAATTTTAGTATTGGTAAGTGATAGCTGATAAAGCTAAGTTTTGGTTCTGGCAGGCTTTTCACTTTATAATAGCTAAAAAGAGTTGCTAGACATTAACAAAGAGAAAATTATAATCTAAGGAGAGAACTGAATTTGGAACATAAATAGCTCTGGGGAGATCTTATCCATTAAAACTATATACATGTATTATGTGATAGTTTATATTTCTGATTTGATGTCTGCTATTTAAAGAGCTCAACGTATCAAACAGAACCTGTATAATAATATATAAAAATATACATACAATATATATACACTAAAAACACACATTATGCATGTTTTATCTGTGATCAACATTTTTTTCAGCTAGTCATTTTGAGGAGGGCTATTTTTAATATAACTGATAGTAGTATCAGTTCAGTTCAGTCGCTCAATCGTGTCCTACTCTTTGCGACCTCACAAACCACAGCATGCCAGGCCTCCCTGTCCATCACCAACTCCCAGAGTTTACCCAAACTCATGTCTATTGAGTCGGTGATAATTGATACTAATATAATACCATATAATTTTTATTCTTAAAAAATGAAAACAGATTCTCATCTAAACTAACCTTTATTCGTTTCTCGGCCTCCAATAATTTGGCATTTGCTGCTTCTTCCTTCTTTTTCTTTTTTGCCTGTGCATGAAAAACAGGTCTCAAAGTCATACAACGGTACCACTGCAACCTGAAAATAATCTATGACTTGAACATGGAGCTACACGACTCACAAGATAGAAAACAACACATGACATATATGTAGACAATTACAGATTTTCTCACAGTTAATACTATATTTACAAACTAATTTTTATTTCTAACATAAAGATTAGCATTAAGATGTAAAAAATTCTTAAAATTTTTAAGAATGTCAGCTTTTCTTGATTTTTTCAATTCTACTGAAAGTCTGAAATAATTGTTTATTTTACATTAAAACAATCACAGAAAAAAATTTTTAATATAATATTTTCTTTTTTCTGATTTTTAAAAGTAAAACATGATCACTGTAAAAAATTAGGAAGATGGGGTAGATTTTAAACAGTAAATATAAGCTATTTTTCTCTAGCTGTTTATTGTGATTAAATTCAAGGTTTTCAAGAAAGACAGAATGGAAACTTATAATCTTTCTTGAAGTACATTTTGAATATCAAGACCATGATGCCAAATCTGAGCTTCATAATCCTAAAGTCATTAACTATCTAGTAGTTTCATAATTATTCAGTAGTTATTAATTTACTCTAAGTTATTAGTACTTGTATTTGGATTTTTAAAATTTATTTAAAATGGGTTAGGGAATATGTGTATATTTCCAGAAGGAAAAATTATACGAAAGAAAGCTTCATCTATTTGACACCCTCAGGGAATAAGTCATCTATATAGCAATAGTTTCCTGAATAGCTGGGAGGTTGTGCTGTGATCAGTCGCTCAGTTGTGTCTGATTCTTTGCGACCTCATGTACTGTAGCTCACAAGGCTCTGTCCATGGGGATTCTCCAGGCAAGAACACTGGAGTGGGTGGCCATGCCCTCCTCCAGGCGATCTTCCCAACCCAGGGACCCAACCCAGGTCTCCCGCACTGCATGAGGATAAGCCAAAAGGGAAGCCCAGCTGGGAGGCTACACCAATGTTCAACACTGAATATTTATTTTCACAATTTTGGATGGAAATAATTGAGCTATATACTATTTAGACACAGCATACTAAATATAATTTGACTTTTTCTTGATGACTTGGGGCAATTATTCTGAACATCAGTTATTATACTGCACAGTTCAACAGAGTAATGCCTTTCAGTTATTAATAATAAGGTGTTGAAAACTGCTTGCTAGTCAACTAAAAGATTACAGACAATCTTGTTAGGCTTCTGAATTCCCATATATGCTGGTTAGAGTTTTTCTGTATTTTTCCCTGCTATCTTGTGGCTATTACCTTACTGATTCCAATATATGTCCTCTAGTCCTATTCCATCAGCTTCCAGGGAAGCAAGGTGTATTAGAAATCAGAAAAACCAGCTAGTTAAACTATTCCTATATTTAAATTTTACTTTCACTTTTGCAATGTTTTATTTCTAAATTAAAAGTAAATATCTATTAGTCCTAATGACTTTTCTAGAAGTAAAGAACACAACTTTGAGCCATGAACTTTATGACACCTATACTGGTTGTTCAGAAGGTTTTCTTTTGTCTTATCTCCTGGGTTATTAGAATAAGATGAGTTTGCTAAATAAGGTCTTAATCTATACATCATGCTTGAAAAGAATTTCTGATGGACATACTGTAAGAGTGAGAGACTACACAGGTAAGATTTTCAATTTTGCAGACTTAAAAATATATGACTATATTTACTTTAATCATATCACATTTAAGAATTCTACCTCTAGAATTTGCTGGGCTCGAAGCTCTTTTTCCATTCTGATTTGTTGTATTCTCTTAATTTTTTCCTGTAGAAAAAATTATAACAATTTAAGATAATAAACTAAATATCCAGGTGGAAAGTATTTAAGTAGAATCAAATAAGATATTAGTACAGAATTACTAAATTTTCCCATGGTGGATATAAAATTTAACTGTTTAGTTTAATATCATATATATATGTTCATGTCAAATTAATGTGATTTTATCAAGTTTCTTAAAACCATTTGTAAAACACAAATGTTACATAAGTATACATAAATCAGGTAAACCAATATGATTAAACTCATTTAGCCTGCGGATTTTTATAAATATTTGCAATTATAACTATTTTGAAATAAATATAGGACAGAATAAGAGAGAAAGACTAATGAGAAACAGGAGTGAGAAAACATAAGGCTAATCCAGAGTTACTGTCATTCACTGGATAATCTTGAGCAAGAATAACTACTCTTGCATAAACCAGGGAGAGGTACTTGTCCTTTCTCACTATGACATGAATAAATTAAAAATGCTTAAAAAACTGTGTACTGCCACACAACTATAATAGATTATTATTAACAATTTCCATACTATAATTTCTTACTTCAGGTGGTGAATGATATATTATTGATACACTGCTTTTAACTACTACAATAAGACAGATTCAGAAATGATCTGCAATATAATTTTAAAAGGATTAATTACAATGCAACATCGTAGAAAGTTATTCACATGACAAAATTCTTGTTTCCATTGTCTTAATTTAATGTATTAAAGTATTTATGTATATTTAAACATATATTTAAATATGTATTTAAACACATATTTAAATATAATTGTATTTAAACATAATATTTAAATGCAAATATTTAAATATACATACATAAATATATGTAAATATATTTAAAATTAATGTAATTTAATCTATTAGTATTATTGTTTTAGAACTTAGGATCACTTAAAGTTTGATAAAACTTTACATTTTGATTTAAATATTATCTCATATGCTATAAGCACAATGTTAACAATTTCATGTTCATAAACCCCTTTGAAAGTCTCAAATTGGCATTTATGATAATAATACACAGTTTTCCCCAAACACCCAAATTTTCCTATTAGCAAATTGCATTTGTTGTACTATTTCCACAGCCAACACATCTTATACTGATGAAAAATTATATTACCTACTTCAATTTCCAGGTGCTAGTTGTATCTTTTCAAGCTACATGTCAATGTGTTTTTAAACATTTCTTTGGGTTTTTTGCACACTGATGTTACTGATCCCCTACAGGAGTCTACTGCAGGGTAATGAGATTTCTGGAATTACTGTTCTGATTTTAGAAGACTGTTTACATTCTATGATTTTGCTATTGGTGACCCTATCTTAGTTTTGAATACTAAATATAGCTTGCAAAAAATAAAAGCCCTAATGTATCTTTTGTTTCATTTCCAAGAGAAAGCTGTACTTGATCCATATCTGAAGTATTTATTCAGATTGGAACTTGAGACCTAAGTAAAGCATGCTCTTTATTTAACTTTTCCACTTTTGTCAATCCTATAATGAGGTATGTTCTCAAGTCAGCAAAATTCACTCACTGTTCTCTTACGTACATAGATAGGTATGGAATCTTCATCTTTTTTTTTTAATCCTCATCTTATGTATACTCAATCTAAAGCTTTATTCTGAAGTTGAGATATATATATCATGCACACATATGACATATATATGTAATATATATACATGTGTGTGTATGTGTGTGTGTATATATATATATATATATATATATATATATACATAAAATCAAAATGACATATATATGTAATATATATACATGTGTGTGTATGTGTGTGTGTGTATATATATATATATATATATATATATATATATGGTAGTGGTGTCATTAGCATTAGCAGAGATAAACATTTTTTATTACTTTCTTTAATATAGGTTTACCTTATAATATTGGGTATCCAATACCTGAACTGAGCTCTTTACATAAAATATCTTTTTTTTATCATAAAAAGAGTTGAACTTTTCTTCTTTTTACCTAATAGAAAACTAGGGACTTCCCTGGCAATCCAGTAGTTAAGAGTCTGTGCTCCTAGTGCAGGGTGCATGAGTTTGATCCCTAGTTGGGGAACTAAGATCCTGCATGCCACATGGTGTGGCAAAAAATTAAAAAAAAATTCTAATAAATAAAATTTTACTAAAAGAAAACTAAAGTTTGTAGAAAGTAAAGATTTTGCCTCAAATCAAAAGGAAACTACAGAGCTCTGTGTTTTATATTCCAATGCCTTTGTTCCTTCTGTTTCATAATAATACTTGTGCAAGCTTCCAGAATATTTCCTTGAAAACTATCTGGTGATATTGGCTTACTAGGTGGAATAAATGATCCAGAAGCACATGCTACTATTTTATTCTAGAACTAATGCTGACTTTAATATAGACATTATGTAACCGACTATGTGAGTAGACTTAGGCTCTACTTTGATTAACTTTATTGGCAATAAGGAATAAGTTAGATGGCATTCTGAAACTACCCTCAGGTAAATATATTGATGAAAACTCACTGGTATTAACGTTGTTGGGACATTGGAACTACGATGCTTCTTTGATGACAAGTTAAAAACTATGTATATTTAGGTTATAGCCACCTTAAGAGTTTAGGATCACAAAGCTGAATTTAAAGTGCTGATAAGATTTGAAGGATCTCTAGCCATCAGGAAATAGGATAAGCTATAAAATAGTAAAGAAAAATACTGCATAGGAACCTGGAATATTAGATCCATGAATCAAGGTAAATTGGAAGTGGTCAAACATAAGATGGCAAGAGTGAACATCGACATTTTAGGAATCAACAAACTAAAATGGACTAGAATGGGCAAATTTAATTGAGATGACCATTATATCTACTACTGAAGCAAGATCCATTAGAAGAAATGTACTAGCCCTCATATCAAAAAAAAAGTCTGAAATGCAGTACTTGGGTGCAACCTAAAAACTGACAGAATGATCTGTTCGTTTCTAAAGCAAACCGTTTAATATCACAGTAATCCAAGTCTATGCACCAACCACTAATGCCGAAGAGGCTGAACGGTTCTATGATGACCTACAAGACCTTCTAGAACTAACAATATAAAGAGGTCCTTTTCATCATAGGGGACTGGAAGGCAAAAGTAGGAAATCATGAGATAGCTGGAGTAACAGGCAAGGTTGGCCTTGGAGTACAAAATGAAGCAGGGCAAAGGCTAAGGGCGTTTTGCCAAGAAAACACACTGGTCATAGCAAAAACCCTTTTCCAACAATACAAGAGATGACTCTACAACATGGACGTCACCAGATGGTCAATATCGAAACTGACTGATTATATTCTTTGCAGCCAAAGATGGAGAAGATCTATACAGTCAGCAAAATTAAGACTGGGAGCTGACTGTGGCTCAGAACATGAACTCCTTATTGTCAAATTCAGACTTAAATTGAAGAAAGTAGGGGAAACCACTAGACCATACAGGTATGACCTAAATCAAATCCCTTATGATTATCCAGTGGAAGTGACAAATAGATTCAAGGGATTAGATCTGATAGACAGAGTGCCTGAAGAACTATGGACAGAGGTCCGTGACACTGAACAGGAGGCAGGGATCAAGACCATCCCCAGGAAAAAGAAGAGGAAAATGGCAAAATGGTTGTCTGAGGAGGGCTTACAAATAGCTGAGAAAAGACAAGAAGCTAAAGGCGAAGGAGAAAAGGAACAATATGCCCATTTGAATGCAGACTTCCAAAGAACAGCAAGGAGAGATAAGAAAGCCTTCCTCAGTGATAAGGACAAAGAAACAGAGGAAAACCATACAATGGGAAAGACTAGAGATCTCTTCAAGAAAGTTAGAGATACCAAGGGGACATTTCATGCAAAGATGGGTACAATAAAGAACAGAAATAGCATGGCTCTAACAGAAGCAGAAGATATTAAGAAGAGGTGGCAAGAATACACAGAAGAACTATACAAAAAAGATTTTAATGACCCACATAATCACGATGGTGTTATCACTCACCTAGAGCCAGACATCCTGGAATGTGAAGTCAAGTGGGCCTTAAGAAGCATCACTAAGAACAAAGCTAGTGGAGGTGATGAAATTCCAGTCAAGCTATTTCAAATCCTAAAAGATGATGCTGTGAAGGTGGTACACTCAATATGCCAGCAAATTTGGAAAACTCAGCTGTGGCCACAGGACTGGGAAAGGTCAGTTTTCATCCCATTCCCAAAGAAAGGCAATGCCAAAGAATGTTCAAACTACCACACAATTGCACTCATCTCACACATTAGCAAAGTAACGCTCAAAATTCTCCAAGCCAGGCTTCAACAGTACATGAACCAAGAACTTCCAGATGTTCAAGGTGGATTTAGCAAAGGCAGAGGAACCAGAGATCAAATTGCCAACATCTGTTGGATCATAGAAAAAGCAAGAGTTTCAGAAGAACATCTGCTTCTGCTTTATTGACAACACCAAAACCTTTGACTGTGTGGATCACAATAAACTTTGTAAAATTCTTCCAAGAGACGGGAATACCAGACCACCTGACCTGACTCTTGAGAAACCTGTATGCAGGCCAGGAAGGAACAGTTAGAACTGGACATGGAACAACAGACTGGTTCCAAATTGGGAAAGAAGCATGTCAAGGCTGTATATTGTCACCCTGCTTATTTAACATATATGCAGAATATATCATGTGAAATACTGGGCTGGATGAAGCACAGGCTGGAATCAAGATTGCTGGGAGAAATATCAATAACCTCAGACATATAGATGACACCACTGTTATGGCAGAAAGTGAATAGGAACTGAGGAGCCTCTTGATGAAAGTGAAAGAGAGTAAAAAAGATGTCTTAAAATTCAACATTCAAAAAACTAAGATCATGGCTTCCAGTCCCACCACTTCATGGCAAACAGATGGGGAAACAGTGACAGACTTTGTCTTCTTGGGCTCCGAAATCACTGCCGATGGTGACTGCAGCCATGAAATTAAAAGGCGCTTGCTTCTTGGAAGAAAAGTTATGACCAATCTAGACAGCACTTTAAAAAGCAGAGCCATTACTTTGCTGACAAAGGTCCGTCTAGTCAAAGTCATGGTTTTTCCAGTAGTCATGTATGGATGTGAGAGTTGGACTATAAAGAAAGCTGAGTGCCGAAGAATCGATGCTTTTGAACTGTGGTGTTGGAGAAGACTCTTGAGAGTCCCTTGGACTGCAGGAGATCAAACCAGTCAATCCTAAAGGAAATCAACCCTGAATATTCATTGGAAGCACTCATGCTGAAGCTGAAGCTCCAATATTTGGCCACCTGATGTGAAGAACTGACTCATGTGAAAAGACCGTGATGCTGGGAAATATTGAAGGCAGGAGGAGAAGGGGACAATAGAGGATGAGATGGTTGGATGGCATCACTGTATTGCTGGACTGGAGTTTGAGCATGCTCTGGGAGTTGGTGATGGACACAGAAGCCTGGCGTGGTGCAGTTTATGGGGTTGCAAAGAGTTGGATACAACTGAGCGACTGAACTGAACTGACTGATAAAAAAAGTATAATAGAAACAGCTGTATTTCACTTTTAAATGAGATATAAGCTTATTTTTACCTATTGTAACATATAGTAAATATTTTTTTTTAATAAATACATTTATGTATATATGGTAGATATATATATTTAGAAGTCAGCCTTAGTTGTGACAATTAGGAAACTAAGTAAGGAATTCAAGTTTACTCCTGAGTACATTACAGTAAATGAGTTTATCTTTATCATCTTTTAAAAAGTGAGCATTTGCTTTGTCAGTGCCAGGCACTGTCTTTGGAACTTTACATCCATTACCTCATTTAATCTTCAGAGGATGCAGTGGTTTTCTGTTACAGTGGAGGAAATAGAGACTTAGAGGTTAAGTAATTTATCTAAGGCTACAAATTTCTTCAGTATCAAAGTCCATACTTCAACACTAAGCTGCCTGACTACAAACTAAATTCTGAAACTCATTTCTGTACCAACTCTTTCTAATCATACTGCTTTAATCAATACTGGAAAGACCCTTAGAGAGAGCCATATCAAATCCAACCCAAGCCATTTTATTTTTCAGCTATTTATATAATAACAAAATTGACTTCATTTCATGGGTTTTAAAAAGAAAAGCACTTATCCCCAATTCCTTTCTACTTTCAAAATTATAGTGAATATATGGAGATGGGAAAGTAGTTTACATATTCCTATGTTAAATAAAGTTGAATATCTTGTCATGTAATACTTTACTTATAAAAATGTTAAAGATACTTCATTTACCTATAGTTAATTTTGAAAGCTACACACAGGAGAGGTATTATTGATATACAATAGAATGCTGCTGAAATGATGCTTTTTTCATTTTGCTGCATTGTAGGTGGCTCTGCATAACTACATCCATGGATTCTAATAAACATGGATCAAAGATACTCAGAAAAAAAAGTTTCCAGTAAGTTCTCAAAAGTAAAACTTGAATTTGCCTCAAGCTGGCAACTATTATGTAGCCTTCACCTTATAAGTATTACAAGTCATCAGGAGATGATTTAAAGTATACAGGAGGATGCACTTAGGTTATACGCAAATCCTACACAACTGTTTTACGGGACTTGTATCTATGGATTCTGGTATCCACGGAAGTCCTGGAACGTATCCCTTGTGGATACCGAGGGATGACTGCAGTAATTTTTCAGTGACTGTAAAGCAATCACAAGCAATAGAAGCAAACCTTATTCTATATAATTTGAAGTTAAATTTTTACTAGTATTTGTATATGCTTTAGGACAATAAGCTTTTCTTATTAAAATTTGAATATTTAAGTAATATCCTACATTTACTGACGTGCATGCATGCTCAGTTGCTAGTCGTGTCCAATTCTTTGGAAGCCATAGACAGTAGCGCACCAGTCTCCTCTGTCCATGGGATTATCCAGGCAGGAATACTGGAGTGGGTTGCTCTTTCCTTCTCCAGGGGATCTTCCCGACCAAGGGATTGAACTGTATCTCCTGCATCTCCTGCACTGGCAGGAAGATTTTTTACCACTGAGCTACTTGGGAATCCCTCATTTACTGATATATTAATTTAAAAGGTTTCAAAGTTATTCATGGTGTCAACTTATATTCAAAGTCTATCAAGATATTCAAATTATCTAGACAATTTATTGTTTGGTGACCCACCTCTTGAGAAACCTGTATGCAGGTCAGGAAGCAACAGTCTGAACTGGACATGGAACAAGAGACTGGTTCCAAATTGGGAAAGGAGCATGTCAAGGCTATATACTGTCACCCTGCTTATTTAACTTATATGCAGAGTACATCATGAGAAACGCCGGGTTGGAAGGAGCACATGCTGGAATCAAGGTTGCTAGGAGAAATATCAAAAACCTCAGATATGCAGATGACACCACCCTTATGGCAGAAAGTGAGGAGGAACTAAAAAGCCTCTTGATGAAAGTGAAAGAGGAGAGTAAAAATGTTGGCTTAAAGCTCAACATTCAGAAAACTAAGATCATGGCATCTGGTCCCATCACGTCATGAAAACTAGATGGGGAAACAGTGGAAACAGNTATTGTCATTTAGAATGTCCCACATTTTGGGCTTGTCTGATTGTTTCATCATAGAGTTGTTCTTAACTTACCTCCCTCAGAAATCAGAGCCAGAAGGAAAGGTTTTATATGCTACGCGTTGTGGTACGCAGGCTCTAGAGCACAGAATTAATAGTTGTGATGGGTTTAGCTCCTCTGTGGCATGTAGGAGCTTAGTTCTCAGATCAGGAGTCAAACCCATGTTTACTGTGTTGGCAGGTGAATTCTTTTTTTTTTTTTCAAACTTAAAAGGGATTTATTTGTGATTTCCTATATATATTTAGCTTGTAAATACAAGACTATAAATGTATTAAGAGACAATTTCTGTTAAAGTTTTCATTATGTTTCACTGCAAGTACTTCACAGGTTAAAATCTGATAAAGGATTTATATTCAGTGATCTGAAACTCCCCATTTCGGACTTTTGTTTAATGTGGTGGGTAACTTCATCATTTCAAAAGACACCACCAGCAGGAAAGTCTCTCTTTTATGGCTCTAGGACTTTCATTAGTTAGTGTGCATACAGTTCTTGTTTTCTATATCATTGTCATTATCATTGCTATCTTTATCATTTTCTAATGGGATGCCTGTGGCAACTGAAGCACCTTTAGTTTCTCGGTCAAGGGGGAAAGAGCCAGTTCCACTGATAGTATCTTGTCTCTGGTAGAAGAGTACATATGCTGCTTTGGACACAATCTGGTCTTCAGACGCAGCTGAGACACTACTGTCATCAAAGTAGTACCATTTCCCATCATCTTTATTTTTTGCAAAAGCAGTATAGTGTGCTCCTCTCATTCCTCCACAGTGGTTGGAAACAGCAATCAAATTATAGCGGCAAGGACCTGCATTTGGATTAATTAGGAATTCTGACATATCCAAATCATTGATAGGAAAATCAACTAAGGTATCCAACTTGTCTCTCATGTATCGATTATAAGAAAATCATTTGAGATGTACCACAAGTACTGGAGGCAAAGACCATAAATCTTTGAGGCAGGTGAATTCTTTACCAGTGAGCCACCTGGAAACTCCAATACACATACAGAAATATACATATAGACTTCAATCAATGCCTGTGTTTTAAAAATCAGTTCCAATCAATAAACATACCTGTTGTTTCATAATCTTTATCTGTTCTTTTTGCTTTCGCTTCTCCTCAGCAGCAAGTATTGCTATGATGAAAAATCAAAGCACAGATAGCGTCAGAAAAAGAAAAAAGAAGAGGTGCCTCTTGTGAGTTACCCAAGACTCACTCTTCAAGTTGGTGCTACCATTTAAATCACGAACCTTGTTGTTTTTTAGCTTCTTTGGCAACCCGAGCCTGTTCCTGCTTTTGCAGTTTTCTCAAAAGCTTTATTTGTGCTGCTTGCCTGGCTATTTCTGAAAAACACAAAATTTTAAGGAATGTTATTAACAAATTAATAACAACAAATTAGTAACAACATAAGTGCTCTCCTAAAAACAATAACTGTGGAACTGGTATCATCGTGAAGGACATGATTTTTAAGAATACTGCCAAACATAACATTAGACACTCAGTAGGAAAATGGCAGGAAATGTCACATTTGTTTCCCCTAGAAATTGCCAATTTTTCATCAATATAACCCTATATATAGAATAAGAATGATGCTTCTCTTGATCCTCATCACAGAGGCTAATATACAAACATTTTTTTTCACATTTTGTGTAATCATCACTGAGTAGGAAAGTAGCTGCTAATATGTAAAAAAGTGATTTAGCTTCAATCTTAACAATAATATATAGAAAAAGAATCCAATATAGACTAAAGTCTCCCAAACTAAGCATTTCAACTAGCTATATAAATGGCAAAGTTTCTGAATCTATTGATACTTTCACTAGTGAAGGAAAAAGACTAAACCTCTTAAAACAGAGAGAATGTTGATTTCTCAGAACAACCTAGTTCTCGTACTTTTTAAGGACAAATGTATGAAACTAGGATAGAGTTACATAATTAATGGTCCCAATTCTTCATCTCTTCCTCTGTCTATGCCATTTGCAATGTGGCTTTGTGGTTCCACTCACCAAGACATGTGAGGAACATTTTTTCTTGGCCCTTGATTTTGAGTTCAGCCATGTGATCTGCTTGGGCCAATAAAATGTTAGCAATGTGATGCAAGTGTAAGTCGGAAAGTGTACTTGAACTCTTTATACCATTACTCCTATGCCTTGCCCTTTATTGTGAGGACATATTTGGATTAGGCTGCTGGAGATTGGGAGCTAGTTGATTCTACAAATGTAAAAAAAGTCCAGTCAGGATCAGCAGAGATGTCTAACTGCCTAACTTAACACTAGCTGATTCTATCTGCACAAACAATTAATGCTTAGGGTTGCATTTTCCACTGAGGTTTTGTCGATGGTTCTTTCGCACATTACTGTTGCAAGAGGTAACTAATACAGAAGGTGTGTAATGTCATGCTTTCTTCTGGTGGCAAACTTGATCAGAATATTTCTAATTATAAAAGTGGTGGATCATAATGTCTTTCATAAAATCATTTCAGAAAATACCACTCTACATTAGACATTGTTTTCAACCTTGTAGCAGATGATTAATTTTAAGAAACCTATATATTATCTTCACCAATAATGAATATGATCAGGTAACATCTAAATTACTTGAGCTCTACTAATAACGTCTACCATTTACTGAACTGCTGTATTGAATTTACACTGTTCTGTCTAATCTTCATAACAACCCTACGCGACAGTCAACACTATGCCAGGGTCACTGAGGGGCACACAAGTTACGCAGCAGCCTTGAGATACATACCCTGGGCTTTCTGACTTCAGAGTTCATGTCACTGCTTCTAAAGTTTAGAAGTATGTTACTACTTATCGAACCTTTAAAGAAATTTGAGTATCTTGAGATTTTCGAAAGAAACATAACTCTGTGTCCTTGTAACAGCTAAGATGAAGTTGCTTACTATGGCTGATTCTCTATCATTAACACTTAAAAAAGGAGACAAGATATAAGAGGGTTTGATTTTATCCAGGAGACTTGAAGGATAGAAGCTGATGCTAGCACATCAGTTCAGTTCAGCTCAGTTGCTCAGTCGTGTCCAACTCTTTGCGACCCCATGAATTGCATGATATACCTCTAACCTTTTAATAAATTTTAATATTAAGTAGTTTTGAGCGTCATCAAGAATTTCTGAGCCACATAAAAAGGAGTCTCCTGTTCATGAAATACTCTTGGAAATCAATAGGTATGTATAAATTGGGCTACAGAATTAGCAAACTCTGATAATAATACATATGAAGGACACTGCTTTCATCTATGACAGATCCAGATAAACATTTTTTTTTAACATTTAAGAATTGAAAGTTTTCACTAAACTCTGCTATAAAGACCAAAATCTGCCATAAAATGTAAAGGTGTGTTGCAAAGCATGTTAGTTACTCAGCTGTGTCCTGCTCTGTGCCCATGGACTGTAGCCTGCCAGACTTCTCCATCCCTGGGATTTCCCAGGCAAGAATACTGGAGTGGGTTGCCATTTCCTTCTCCAGGGGATCTTCCCAATCCAGGGATCGAACCTGGGTCTCCTGCATTGCAGATGGACTCTACCATCTGAGCCTCCATGGAAGCCAAGTGGTTAAAAAAATATATTTTCTAGAAAATGTGGCATAAGTATGATGCTTTGTTTTCAGCTAAATTGATGCTAATAGCAGTTTGGCTTATAATAAGGAAATTTTTATCACCTATATAGGTGTATTCTTGTATATGAATGTATCAGTCAATTTCAAACTCCAAACAAGTTCACAGTAACTTTTAAAAACACTAGAAGGCTCAACTGATATTTTTTCATTTTAGCAAGGAAGATACAATTTGGATTAATCATTTAAAATGTATGCAGCTTAATTTTTATATTACGAACAGTTAGAGAAAATATGAAAAAAAGAATATTAAAAAAATAAAAAAAGTAAGTTGATTAGGGACACTGTGGAGGAAGGAGAATGAGTCAGAGACCTATAAAATTCACTCAGGCTCTGTGGAATAAACAGCTTCCAATATCTTCTCATTTATTTGGTTTATGGTTGTTGAATATATTATCTATTGCAATGAACACTTGAAATATTAATTTGAAAAATATTTTTCATGGATGAAGAATCTGTAAATTTCAAAGAAAAATTTAGTTTGAAATAAAGTTTATTTTCACTTTGAATTACGGCTATTCTACATATACCACATTTCTTTGATTCTAAGATGCATTTTTAAACATGTCTAAAATCACAGTGTGTCTAAAAATTGGTAGCATTTTGCTTTCTTAGTGGAACATCTGAAATAACAGGACTTTGTATAGACTAGGGCATCTCAGATTCCATAATGTATGAAATGGACAGATGTTACTAGATATCTTAGAAAATTTGAGATATGAACAGTATCAACCAATTAAGAAGCAGGTTTATTCAGACAGGTTGGAAGTTTCTTTTTTACATTCAGATTTTGTCAGATTCCTATATGTATTCTCTGAGAAATTAGACCTCTCATTTCACAATGCTTAAAAGTACAAAGTTTGCACTTTTTTTTTTTTTTACTGTTTTGAATCTTTCTTCAAATTAAGTCCAGTTGTTTAGCCTAGTTGAATCCTTGTATGAAACAGAATCATACAGAAACCCTTCAGGTAACCCCCTCAAATTGCTGATGTAGAAACCTTTTAGAAATAAAAGGGGGGATAGTGATTCATTGCTGTTTTCCTTTCTTCCTAAGGAAAAAGCATGCATATTATACTACATTTACTTGTATATATTAATAATTATTTATTTACTGCGAAATATTTAACATTTATATGCATGCAAGAAAGAACATATGTACACAATAAGGTCAAATGTAAAAGAATTTGCAAAATGCAACATAATACAACAAGGGAAAAACTATGTAACAGAATACAAACCAATTTGAAATCTTGAGGGAGAAAAAACGTCTGAGTAAAAGTTGAATAATTAACTTCCAATCTGAAAAAATTTAGTTAATTTTACAAATATAAAGTTGCCATTTTGGATACTAAGTATTAATGCTGCTTGTATAAGAAAAGCAAAACATACATAAGAGCCCATACTTTGGGTATCAGTTAATTTCAAGCTTTCTTATTTTACACACAAAAAGCAATGCACATTCCCCAGTGTTACACATTCTTCAGAAAAGACAGTGGTTTACTGACAATACTAATTTTAAAAAAGTATGGCTCTATCAGTTAACATATTAACTTAGCCTGGTGGGCTGCCATCTGTGGGGTCTCACAGAGTCAGACAAGACCGAGGTGACTTAGCAGCAGCAGCAATTTTTCAGGGGTGATAAGTCTTAAAAGGAACCAAGCAGAGTAACATGAAAAATATTTAACGAACATACTATGGCAGATAAAAACTTATACAACATTAAGTTAAATACCAGGCGGTTAACCTACATGCCATTGGCAGAAGTATGAATTAGTGCAATCTCTTTGGAGATAATATTTGTCTATTTACCCGAAGTAAAAATGAACATATGTTTTGATTCAGAGATTCTATCTCTAGAATTTTATACTATACATAGGCACACCTTTAGAAGGATGTGAAGATACGTGTAATGTGTACTTACTGCAGCATTGTTTGTGACACAAAGATCAGGAAAGAGCCACAACAGTCATCAGAAGACTACCTAAATGAAGTATGGTAGAATCATACACAGTATCACTTACTATTCAGCCATTAAAAGAATGTGGTTGATTTTTAACTGCTGATACAGGAAGATGTTCAAGATAAATTAACTGGAAAAAAGACAGGATGAATAGTATATGCACTATAAGCATTTATCTTAGACATCACAAAGGATATATATGTAATTGTTATTGTTATATGTAATTGTTGTTGTTTAGTCGATGAGTCATGTCTGACTCTTTGTGACCCCATGGACTGTAGCCCACCAGGCTCCTCTGTCCACGGGATTTCTGAGGCAAGAATACTGGAGTGGGTTGCCATTTCCTTCTCCAGGGGATCTTCCCTGGAATTGAACCTGCATCTCCTGCAGTACAGGTGGATTCTTTACTGCCACACCACCAGGGAAGCCCAATATATGTAAAACAACATATTTTATATGCATATGTACATATATGAGTATTTGAAGACATGTGTGTGTAGGAGTGTACGTACATATTACTGGATAGACTAATGAAATAATTGTTAATAATGATTCCACTCATTAATATTTTTTACAGAAGCCATTCTGTTCTATGAGTTTTTGTCATAGACATTTATTTTGTAATAAAAACAAAAGAGCTACAAAGAAGTCAATATTATGCTGCTGTTTACAATAAACAAATGTCATGCTTTTCCCTCAGAGAAAATCCATAAGAAGTAAAATCCTATATGCCTTTTAAGTCAGTTCTTATTACCAAACCTTTATTTTACATTGCTGCTGCTGCTACTGCTAAGTAATGTCCGACTCTGTGCGACCCCATAGACAGCAGCCCCAGGCTCCCCCGTCCCTGGGGTTCTCCAGGCAAGAACACTGGAGTGGGTTGCCATTTCCTTCTCCAATGCATGAAAGTGAAAAGTGAAAGTGAAGTTGCTCAGTCGTGTCTGACTCTTAGCAACCCCATGGACTGCAGCCTACCAGGCTCCTCCCTCCATGGGATTTTCCAGGCCAGAGTACTGGAGTGGGTTGCCATTGCCTTCTCCGTATTTTACATTTACATATGTGTATATATATGCTTGTTAATATAAGGCACCAACATGTATGCTGATGTACATTCAGATAGTCTTCATAAGAAGAGGCTTCCCCAGTTGTAACTAGTAACTTAAACTCAAAGCAGGATTATTTTCTTTTAGTCAGCTTTTTCTGTGTCAGACATAGCCTTGGAAGTTAATGTTAATAGTTCATGTACAATTTTGACTCATAAGTACATCTGAGGTTATTATGAGTACTTTGTGCTTGATAGCGATACTTTCTGGTGGTCTTAAAATAAATATTTTTGAATTAAAACTACTACTTGGGCATTTTGAAAATATAAGTAATATTTGCACACTATAGAAGAGCCCAAAGACTGGGGTTACATACCAGTAATTGGAGTTCTCTGACTGAAAATTTACTCCACAGATCCACATATCTTGGAGTTATTCCCTAGTACCACCTCAAGGAACTGGGGGCTGTTAAAATGAGAATTTCCAGAAGGTTGGCACAACCTTAAGGCATGTGCCAAGTACCGGTAGATTCCTTTTCAGTGCAAGCCTTAAAAAAGCTTGGGCTTCCTGGTAGCTCAGCTGGTAAAGAATCTGCAAGCAATGTAGGAGATTGGAGTGCAATCCCTAGATCAGGAAGATCACCTGGAGAATGGTAGGCTACCCACTCCAGTATTCTTGCCTGGAGAATCCCCATGGACAGAGGAGCCTACAGTCCGTGGGGTCGTAAAGAGTCAGACATGACTGGGTGACTAAGCACACAGCACAAAGCTTATCATCCACCTTTGTAATTCTAAACACACAGTATGTTGTGTTTATGAGTATGGCTCTTCAAAGAAGCTTACCAAATCAAAGAACTCCAGTTACCAGTGGGACTTCTTAATTTCCTAGTTTTATTCTAACAAAAATATCTCCTTTTCAGAAACTGTGAGCAGTGTTAATCATTCATAAGTCAAAAATATAAGAAATATATATACTTTTTAATGTGATTATTACAATGTCAAATACATTATGTTTCTTACCCTGAGCTTGCAGTTTTCTTAGCAATTTGGCATCTGTGTTATCTAGAAATTCAGTGCTGCCAACATTTGGAGGCCGACCTTTCCGACGTCTCATCCTGGATTCCTCTCTTGCTCGCTGTCTATCTGGATTTGGTGGTCTTCCTCTACGACCTTCCATTGCCCTGATACGGGGAATGACATCCTCTTCTTTCAAAAGACACCACTGCATTCCCTTTTAATTAATATTTTATAGAAATAATATATTATAAGCAAAATAAACACAAGTGGTCAATACGTCAAATAATTCTAGGAAAATTCGCAGATATTTTGAAGTTTATAGAGCTATTACAACATTTAGGGATTTTACTTTTTAAAACAAATTTATGTTTAGAATTATTCATGGACTTGGCACATTTTTTATATTCAATAAATCCAACTTTAAATACAGGGATTTATATATATATATGTATGAACATATAAATAGATACATATTTAAAATCACCATTTCTGAACTATAGTGACTATAATGTTGGCAGATATTTATAAATATTAGTTGTGTGATGATACCTCTATGGATTTTTCTCATGGACTATCAGTTAAACCAAACATTAAGCTATCCAAACAACAGATGAAAGGTCTCTTTATAGAAACAATACAGTTAATACATCCAAGAAGGAATCTAAGAGTTAACATGTCAGAATTTTGCAATACTTGATGAATTAATCAAAGTATTGAAGTTGAATGGTTGCCAACCACCAAAAAGAAAGACAGCTAGACAGACATAAGTCTCCTGATGGAGATTCAATTCATCACCTATAAATTAGTCTTGCCCTCTCACAAAGGGAAATCAAATATATATTACACTTAATTACTATAACTTCACAAGAAAAAAAGGGTGAGAAGTAAAGGTTTAACTACACAGCAAACGCAGTCTAGGAAATTCTACAAACTTCAACAATTTATTCAACAAATAAATTTCAAGAAGTAAAGAAGAAAAAAGTACCAAAATATCCCAATGTGTAGACCTTATCTAGATATTGATTTAAACAGACAAACTGTTCAGAAAATTATGGCAATTAAAGGACAATTTAATATTTGAACAGTGCCTATTATTTGAAATCAAGGAACTACTGTTTCAAAATGTGATAATGGTACATTTGAGATTTCCCACTATAAGCCAGCTGATGGAAACACATTTACCAGCATAATGCTAATGTATTATAGGAATAATCCTGTGCAGTGTGTAGATACCATCATAGTCTGGTTTTCATTATCCTTTGTATGTCACTCAAAACAAATATATTATTGTTTGTGATGAGTTGATTTTCTCTTAAAAAACAACACTATTTTACCTTATTTATAGTCCAAAACAATAGGTTCAGATATTAGAAAGGCACCCTTTTAAAATAATCCTAAAATAATTCACTTATTTCTTTTTAAAGAAATAACTCTTCTAGTGTAAAGTTTGAGAAAATGTTTTAAATGTGCCTTTTTTTCTTAAAAAGAATCTCAAATTAGGAATTTAGCTTGAACCACTGTGGGCAATTCTGCAACCAAAGGTAATCAAAAGCTCTTGAGTTATATTTTATGCCATGATACCTAAACTTGGAGCAAGGATTCTAGGAATATCTCGCTCAAGAGGTACAAAAAATATAAATACCACTTCTGCTGCCATAATGGATGATGGTTACATCCCGTATTTCAATCACTGTGCTTAGTTCCAGGCATTTCGATTATATTATGTTCTTTAATCTTCACAACAGTATTATCTAACATGGTGGATTTTATTGTATTTACTTTACAACTGAGAGAATTCAAGCCCACCTGAATAATTTCTTAAGGTATGGAGGCAACAAGGAACCGAACTATGATTTGAACCCAATTCTCTCACTCTAAAACGTGTGCTCTTAACTACCACATGTACTTTTTTAGTTGATGTTACAAAGATGTTATTAAACTTGATAAATGACTGAACCCAATATTCAGTCATTAAAGCACAGCAAAGATTATGGCAAAGCAGAACTGAGTCAGAAAAAAAAATTAATGAATATAATCCATGTATAAAAAATATCTATACTAACCCTTCTCAGTAATTTCCAGGTAAAAATAATTTCACAAATTAATTCTGAGGAAAATAAGGATTTATTTTTGCTGAGATTTCAATGAAGTCAACAGAAACAAGAATTGTACTAGCTCCATTTTCATACCATAAACCACCATATAAAAAATATCTATACTAACCCTTCTCAGTAATTTCCAGGTAAAAATAATTTCACAAATTAATTCTGAGGAAAATAAGGATTTATTTTTGCTGAGATTTCAATGAAGTCAACAGAAACAAGAGTTGTACTAGCTCCATTTTCATACCATAAACCACTAAGAAGGAAGCCATGAAACCATTTTTATGTTCACCACAATGGGAAGCTTTTGATTAGTTCAGGTTTTCATTTTTCTATTATGCTTTTAGGTACCAAGGCAGTAAGCATCACATAAATTGAAAAATATAAAAGTGACATTTGTGACACTTGGAAGTAGAAGAGAAAGACTAATAAATGAGTCTCTAAAGGAATCTGCATTCAGTTTTTAAGGTACCTTATTAATAATAAAATCAACTTTTAGCCAAGATTTAAAGGGGTTTGATCTGTTTTTCTGTTTTTATCCAGGTACAATTTTACACTTATGTTTTATTCAGCTTAGTGTCAAAAAAGAAACAGAATATGCTGGTGCCCAAGCTTACTAGACAATATAGTGACATTGTCATTTACATTTTTGCCCTTGACATTTCTAAAGTAAATGCTTTCTAAGGGAGTTGCATATATTGGACTACATACAATGTCTTTTCATCCCTGGATTTTAGAAAATAAGAAATGGATTGTTAGGAATCTGAAGCGTATGATTTAGTTCACTGAGTAGCCAAAACTTATTCAACAAAAGAAAGTTAATGTATTACTTTTTTTTCTTAGTTTAAGAATAACATTAAAGTTATTTTCAAGAGAAAAATAAGAATTTTGTTGGATTTCCATACAACTAATTTACAGTTTAGCATTATGTCTATTTGTGCCTACTTTATGGTGTCAGAGATTTATATACCATAAACTTTACAGCATAGGGATTCTTAATCTTAATAACAAAGTTTATTAATATCATATACTGAACAGCACTTGAAAGATGTTAAAGAGTAAGAACAGTTATCTATGCATGGAGATGAGTGTCACCGATTAAAACCAGTTGAGAAAGACATGGTTTGATACAATTGTTTCCATAATGCTGACTATGCTTTCCAGTTACTCATAGTATGTTACCCTCAAAGACTTAGGACTGTCAAATATCTCCTTTCTACACTTGGATTCATACAGTTGGCTTCCTAGTATAGGCCCTTGCCTAGCCATCAAAAATCCTACCTGGTAGATTAGTGACATAAATTTCCAGACTTTTAGTTTTTTGGTACTGATCTCTCATGTTCTCAGTGTCCATATATGCCCACAGCTATGTTATACTAGGTATGACAGTTAACAGCAGAATTGATTAGAATCCTGGTTGTTGACTCACAATCTTTTGTTCTTATTTGAAAACTAAGTGGGTCGGAGGTGGCCTGCTGCAGGGCTGGAGGCACTGAGTATAGCAGTGGGTGCATGGGACCTTTTGAAGGAGGTCACCATTATCTTCATTACCTTTGCCATGGTCTGGCCCAAGGTAAATAACAGGGGGAACACAGCCCTGCCCATCAACAGAAAATTGGATTAAAGATTTACTGAGCATAGACCTTCCCATCAGAACAAGACCCAATTTCCCACTCAGTCAGTCTCTCCCATCAGGAAGCGTCCTTAAGCCTCTTATCCTTCACCATCAGAGGGAAGTCAGACTGAAAATCACAATCTCAGAAAACTAACCAAACTGATCACATGGACCACAGCCTTGTCTAACTCAAACTATGAGCCATGCTGAGTAGGGTCACCCAAGACAGATGGGTCACGGTGGAGAGTTCTGACAAAACATGGTCTATTGGAGAAGGGAATGGCAAACCACTTTAGCATTCTTGCCTTGAGAACTCCATGAACAGCATGAAAAGGCAAAAAAGAAAAAGACACTGAAAGATGAACTCCCCATGTTGGGAGGTGCCCAATATGCTACTGGAGATCAGTGGAGAACTAACTCCAGAAAGAATAAAGAGAAGGAGAAAAAGCAAAAACAACACCCAGTTGTGGATGTGACTGGTGATGGAAGCAAAGTCCAATGCTGTGAAGAGCAATATTGCACAGGAACCTGGAGTGTCAGATCCATGAATCAAGGTAAATTGGAAGTGGTCAAACAGGAGATGGCAAGAGTGAAAATCGACATTTTAGGAAGCAGTGAACTAAAACGGACTGGAATGGGTGAATTTAACTTAGATGACCATTATATCTACTACTGTGGATATCTAGCTACTTAGAAGCTATCCCTTAGAAGAAATGGAGTAGCCCTCATAGCCCTCAACAAAGGAGTCCAAAATGCAGTACTTGGATGCAATCTCAAAAACGACAGAATCTCTGTTCGTTTCCAAGGCAAATTATTCAATATCATAGTAATTCAAGTCTATGCCCCGATCAGTAATGGTAAAGAAGCTGAAGGTGAATGGTTCTATGAAGATCAATAAGACCTTCTAGAACTAACACCGCCAAAAGATGTCCTTTTCATTATAGGGGACTGGAATGACAAAGTAGGTAGTCAAGAAATACCTGGAGTAACAGGGACATTTGGCCTGGGAATACAGAATGAAGCAGGGCAAAGGGTGATAGAGTTTTGTCAAGAAAACGCACTGGTCATAGCAAACACCCTCTTCCAACAACATAAGAGAAGACTACCAGATGGTCAAAACTGAAATCAGACTGATTACATTCTTTGCAGCCAAAAACAAGACTGGGAGCTGACTGTGGCTCAGATCATGAACTCCTTATTGCCAAATTCAGACTTAAATTGAAGAAAGTAGGGAAAACCACTAGATCATNTCAGCAAAAACAAGACTGGGAGCTGACTGTGGCTCAGATCATGAACTCCTTATTGCCAAATTCAGACTTAAATTGAAGAAAGTAGGGAAAACCACTAGATCATTCAGGTATGACTTAATCAAATCACATATGATTATACAGTGGAAGTGACAAATAGATTCAAGGGATTAGATCTGATAGACAGAGTGCCTGAAGAATGATGGACAGAGGTCCGTGACACTGAACAGGAGGCAGGGATCAAGACCAT